GTTTTACGGCCAATGGATGATGATCTGATTAGTCGACTAATCTCAAAAATAATCGTTTATGGCAGCCCTTCTATACACAGGTTTGTTTGTTTTGCTTTTTAAAATTTACCCACCACTTGTGACAGACCCAGCCAACGATATTGGTAAATGCTATCTTATCTGCCGCCAAGCCAACAACATGAAAGCACTTCGAGTGCTCAACAGAGTACAAAGACACTATATTAAGTATCAGTCTACCTCACCATCAGCTAATTTATCAGTGCATTTTCCACTTAATGTTGCCACTGAGATGTCTCTACAACTTGGTGTGGTTGCAGACAGTCCGTGGTTCCTACTGATGTGACAATCTCAAATCCTGCTCTGGAGTTTGTTTCATTTCACCTGAAATCAACTCTTTTCTGAAGTTCTGCACAGGAGCACAGCCAACAACAAATATTTTCCTTCCTGCAATTACTCATGTTCAGAACAGTCATTTAGGACTTATCTAATTCCTGCATCTCTGACTTTTTAGGCCTCCATGGTGACCAAGCTGCTTCTGACCAACACTCACATTAAAAGCTGTATGCTACTTGCAATAGGTGCTACTAACAGCGTACGAAAAGTTGGCTCCCAGCTTTCCTTTTCTCCTCAAGTCCAACAACTGAGAACAGTCTCTTCACACCATGGCGTGGTTATGTAAAAATGGAGCGTAAATCTTTATTGTAATGATACTAATCCACTTTTCTTTTTCTTTTTTTAAAGAAGAATAAACTGAGTGTAATTCTGTCCAACTACTGAAACATTAATCCACAACAACTGGGCGGTTCTCAAACGAAATTAGCCATCGGTGCCCGATTGAATTTCACATCTCAGCGGACAGAAGGAAAAACACCTCACTACAAAGGTTTTAATGCACCTACACTTGTTGGAAATTTCAGCAAATTAGTAAACCTCTTTCCTGTATGTCTGATGGGAGAAGTTTGCATATGTTAGTCTCCACTATAGAAATTTATCTGCTTTCAACAATATAAAGCCTTGCAAAGGCTCTTGCTCAAACTCAGTTGTAAAACCTCAAATGTAATGTCTTTTTGGCTATAAATAATTGCAAAAACAGAGAGAGAAAAAAAAAGATAAAGATAATAAACGTCATAAATACGGCATTTAATTGATGTATGGAAATTGTGTTGATTCATATAAATGCATTCAAATGTTAAAGAGCAGTTCTATAACAGGCCACGCACGTTATTCACCGGTCTCACGTAATATTTATTTTCGCGACAGATTTCAAAATAAAAGTTTAACTTCTTCCTTTTTTCAGATTCTCGGTGATTTGAGCTTGTTATTGGCATGCCACCTGTTGCGCGCTTGCAACGTGTTAAGTTGCAGCAAATGCTAAATAATTTACCAACAGCAGCAACAGCAAAGCCTCATAAATGAGGGGGCTCAAGATCCGACTTGTCAGCAAAGTCACCAAAATATAAACCCGTGTTAACCTGCCATCCCCGTACGTGTCTGTAGGGGTGTGTGGTAATAGTGTGGGACTGTTGCTAAACAAATAAATTACCTGCAGTTTCTTACCAGCACCTTTAAGGTATTAAAAACAGTAAGGAAGACTGTGTGGGGTGAAAGTTAAACATACGAGGCGTTTAAAACCAGCATTCGTGATTAGCGCTCAGTGGTGCGTTCGCTGTCAGATACTCACACCGGAGACTCCATGAAGCCCAGCGGCCGGTGAAATGTCAGAGGTCCCGCCGCAGTCCTCCACGGCTAACAACGCTCAGCTTTCGGCCGTGGAGACGCGGCTTTATGTACTCCGTGGGCGGTTAACAGTGTAGCGCGTCCGTGTCTGCAACCTGCTCCTCACAGCACAGTCACCGTATCAGCGCCGATCCCCGCGACGAGCGTCTAGTTAAGAGCGAGACTACAGCGCGAGGTCAGCACTTCCGGTTACTGCCCCCCCTCCCCATACACACACACACAAACACACACTAAAACCTCGACTAGGCAACTTGGAAAGAGATTCATTACACAGAAGTGTTGAAGTTCAATGTTACACTCCGAATTTAAAACGTTTAAAAATAAACATTCAATACCTTCAACAACTTGTGACGATGTGAGCTCCACTTTATTATAACATAATATGAAAATACTGCAGGGTCCTCCTAATGAAAAAAATACTTTTGTCTTTTTATGCAAATGTACTGTTTATAAGATTGGGGAAACCTACAGTCAGCTGAGACTGAAGAAGTCACTTGGATGAGTGATGAAATGTTTCTCCCACTGAAAACGCTACGTCCAGATCAACAGAATCAACTTTTGGAGACTTTTTTTGTGTGCAATATCTTCTGCCACAGTCTGTCTGAGCTGGGTTTAAAAACATATATAAAATTACATTCTTGTTTCAATTTGCATCATATATGAAAATAAATGGTTGAATGGGCTGCTACTGGCACGTTTCTACTCAGTTTGACCAAATCAAATACAAATTCAAGTCTGATTTACCCAATAATATACACATTCATACAGGGCATTTATCTAACATTTACTCACACTCTGATGGATACACTCTGAGTTGAGCATCTTTGATACATGAACTGGAAAGGCTGAGATCAATCAGCTGTCCTTGTTATTGATGGATGATTACCACCTGACCAACAGCTGGGTCAAATAAATGCTGGGTTATGGGAGAGATGGGAAATGCTCCACCGAAATGATTTATTGCATTGAATCGTATGACTATGTCTGCAAATGTTCTGAAAAACTCAAAACAATATCAATTTAAAAATATTAAAAATATATATATTTTTCATCTTGACTGATATCTTAGAGGAATAGGCTGACTATAATTTAAAATAGTAATTTCTGTTTTTTTTCTGCAAAAACAATGCATATTTTGTTAATGTTAACAAATCACAACCTTAAATATTTAGCCAATCAAATATATATTATGCAAGTCTATAAACTCAGCTACATAGTTAATATTTTTCACTAAATAAAAAGACACAGCTCTACTTGCTGCAGTTTCAGAGTTCTTACATGGAAGCCCCATTTTTGCCGAATAAATAATCACCAATGTCAGAATTTGGGCAAGAACACTTTATTCAAGGTAATTTAAAGACATTGTCGTCCTTACAGAGTTTATTTACACCTAAAAGTTTTTCCAGAAAGATTTCCTACATAATGTAAATATTATATGCCAGCAATGTTAACACTTAAATGTAAATTGGGCACATGACATTAAATCTACAGGTTCAGACTTTTATTTTGAAATTGAATTTGCTTTGTACAGTTTCCTGTATCTCGGCTACCTTGACACAGAAAAAGGCGGGTCTTCCAGCGTCTCCAATCATATCTAATGGGGAACTGAGTGTTAAATTCAAATCTATTTTTCCTCACCTTGCATTTAAATCACAGAGGAAACCAAAAGTAATGCAAGTACAACAAAGACTTCTGTAGTACTCGCTATACTTTAGCGCAATACTAAAATAATGTAATCAGCTATTGATTTTAAATAGCAGAAGGAAAATATAATAATAATAATAATAATAATAATAATAATAATAATAATAATAATAATAATAGCAAAAACAACAATGGTCTTTCTTGGCTAACCTACTTTTCTGTGGAAGGGAAACTGAACTTACCAAATAAAGCTCTCCTACGCTTGTTCATATTGTGTCATGCAATACATATATCACATATTTTAGCATTGAAGATATCTTACAGGTTGTGTCATCTTACCGAGATGACTACTCACACACTAGAAGCTACTGAACACATTCCTCTTGACATTGTTACCTTTATATTTCCAGCTTTCAGCGCTCAGACTCTCTCCCTGCGATGTTTGGTCCTGCTCTGCCATCAGGTGGTAGAAAACTGCTATATCATCCTGATAGAGCGCAGTGTGTGTATTATCCTAACACAGCAAATATTAAATCAAGGGACAGTGACTTCTGGATTACACAAAATGACCACTGTGAAGTTTGGGTGGATGTGTATTAATAAAATAGTCGATTCACTATCACAATTCCATAACAGGTATCTCCTCGGAGACTTTGTATCCAGTTATGCAAACAGGTGAGAGGAACCTTTTGATGCCATTAGATTATCCTCACAATGTCAACATGTGTTCTTTGAAAGAACACAATCATATTGTCAGTTGCTGGATCTCCAAAATCCATTAAACTGAGCGCCTCATCAGCTCAGCACCTTGAGTTTTTACAAATGTCAGTGATGATGCCAGTGCGGAGGTTTTTAAACCTTACTGAAATCTCACTCCTCAACTTTAAGCCAGATTTTCTTAACTAACCACCTGATCAGGCTAATGGTGTTTTTACAAGGGCTGCTCTTCTTTAATGATGTTATAGCCAAACCAAACTACACTTTGTACACGTGTGCTCATAAACATATTGGATATTTCTTCCTTTTCTCCTCCATCCTGCCCACGTTTCCCCTCAGATGTGTCAGCAGCCTGTGCACAATTTGCAGGAGGCCCATTAACCACTTCAGGCTCCACAGAGTCTGACGTTGGTTCATCTTCCAGTGGAGGCGGTGCTGTGATTTGATCATCGTCCTGACAGTGGGTATGAGTTTGTGTCTGCTGTGCCAGTGGATTGGAAATTTTGTGGACTAAAGACTTTTGGTAAAGTTACAGAGTTTACCTCTTTATTGGCTTCTTTTAAATTGTCTGTGATTGCTTTGTTTTTCCAACAGTTATACTGCAGGATCTCATTTTCCTTCTCCAGTGTCTCCATGTGATGGACCGAGTTGAAAAACAGGAGGAGTCCTAGGAATTATTAGAAAAATATAGTTTCCATTTATTTAACCCCCAAAATTATATTTACAAGAATAATAAAAGTTGAGCTCATAAATGAGGTCAAACAAACAAAACTGAACTGAACTCAGGCAAAGACTGCAAACTTAACAAACCAAAAGACTGCTACAAACAAAAATAACTGACCTAAAACATGAAATGACATACAAGAGTATATATAATGGCTGATCAGACCATTGTGACACATGAGGGGTAACAAACAAACACAATCATAAATCACAAACGATGCAGTAAAATCTAGTTTGTTAATAAACTAAACACTAAAGAAGAAAA